GTCTTCTGGGAACACTTGGGGAAACTTCTGGAATCAACAGACTGTTACATTTCTTCATAGTGTCTATCTAGCCTTTCACCTGCTCATTCCTGTTCGTTTGGGGCCAGTGCCCTCTCCAGGCACCCTGGTGTAGGTAGGGCTGGGGGTTCTGACCTTGATGGATGCACTCAAAGACTGGGAGCAGCAGGGTACTGTAACACCACGAAGCTGCTGTCTGAACTTAACGATGTTCTGTAAGCTGGTAATCTGGTTCTGGTTGAGCCCGACCTGGCTCTGGGTTAGTTTACCTATTCTAAATTAGCTGTGTGTTTTAATTAACCTCTCTGCCTGCTGGTAATAGTACAGCTACCTCACAGGGTAGCACGGGCCTTCAAATTCACTGGTCTTGGCCATTTTCTTTTTCTTTCATTCACTCAGTGACTGTTGTTAGTGCTGTCCATGTGTAATAGAATGAAACATTGTCTGGACCGGTGCCATCCTCCCAAACGTCCTCATTCTCCCCCTGGTGCGTGCACACACACACACACACACCCAGGCCAACTTTGTTGTTGGTGATGAGGATATAAAGCTTTTAGCATAACCAAGTCCTTGCTGTCAAAATGCTTACTCTCCAGTGCTCATTGAAGAAACGTTATAGCCATTGCTCAGAGGGGACCATCGTAGCCCCTGCCCTCAGGGCTCTACCAGGAACACAGGAGCTCTTTGCCATCTTCAACAACATCAACAACCCTGTACCATTAGCACTGGGCCCAGGGAAGTAAGTGAAAGCGCACAGCCAATGTGGAATATGTGGACCTTGGTCAAGGTAGATTGGTGTGAGTGGGCCCTCTTTATGGGAGTACCAGCTCAGTATATAGTCCCAAGCTCTCTCACTGGCAGGGCCGGAATGTCAGTTCGATAGAGGCCCTCGTCCTAGGAGTTGGAGAGAGAGCAAGTCCTACACACTGGAATCTGGTGGAGAGATGCACTTATCCTTGTGCAAACATCATCCGCCTGGCTGGCCCATTGTATCCTGGGGTCCCTCCGCCTCCTTCATGAGCCGAGGTGGCACTGTCTGGTAAGCATTAGACTGCTGACCCAAGGTTTGTGGTTCAAACCCACCCTCAGTAGAAAGATGGGCTGTGTACTCCTGTAAAGCTTTAGCCTTGAAAACTCTGTACAGGGTAGCTCTCTGAGGAGGGATCCACTCGGGGCAGCGGGTTGGTTTGCTTTTGTGTTTCCCTCGCCTTTTTTCTCCTTCTCATGCGCTTTCTCTCCTTTCCGTCCCCTGCCTGCTTTCTTCTCTCCCGCCTGGCTTGAGCTGGTTTCCAATGGCGTCACAATGGATAACTACACTGTGTCCTAGCGCTTGGCAGCCCGCGAGCTTGTGATGCTCCCTAGGGTTTCCGCGGCTGTCAATCTTGATGGGGACAGGCGGTCTTAACGTTCTTCCTCCCGCAGGGCGGCTGGTGGTTTTGAACCCCCGGCCTTGGGTTTGGCGCTCCCACGCTTACCCGACGGCGCCACTCGGGCTCCTGCGGCGCGTTCGCGGCCTCGGGGAACGCGTTCGCGCCGCCGGGCCTCCGGCTTCCGCTTGGCTCCCCGCGCCGAGCGGGCCGCGCGGCGGAACCAAAGTTCCCGGATCGCCGGGGGGAGGAAGCATTTAGGAACTAGAGGAAAGTTGTATTTCTTATCGTTACATCGCACCCTGACTGGCTCATCTCCTCCCCGAGACCCCTCTGCAACACCATTATTAATTGCCAAGAAGTGCCTACACCCCGGCAGAATGTCAGTGGGTATCGTTTTTTTGGTTTCTTTTCCTGGTAACTCTGTAACGAAGCATTTCAACCTTCTTCTCCTAGGTCAGTAACACTGTGTTCATCATGCTGTGTAACTGGATCCACGTGTCCAGATTCCTCCATAACCCTTAACAGAAGCTTGGTGGGTTGAGCTTTCCAAGCACAACCACGGGCATCGTCTCTTTAGTACCTACCATCTGGTGTTATTCTCCCGCTTGCCGTTGAGTTAGGGACCGTGGACTGAACTGATGGCCTCATCAAGAGCTCCCATTCAAACCAGTCTATTTTGACCAGGGTCCACATATGCTTTTGTTGTTGTTAAGTTTTAAAAACCTGTAATTTACAAACCACACTTCACTTTTCCAGAAGGATTTTCTGGGCTCTTGTCTCAGGAGCCCTAGGGGTGGTGCAGGGACCAAGCATCCAGCTGCTGAGCGGTCTGCGGTGGGAGAAGGGAGAAAGCTGTGGCAGTCTGCCCCCCTTGGACACCTGTCAGGGAACTCGGGGAGTTCTCCTGTGTCCTGGGGATCAGTGTGGGTTGGGACTGACTTGATGGCAGTGCAGGGAGGCGGG